GCATCGGAATGGTACCTATCCATTATCATTCAGCACAACTAAAGCAGCCTGTAAGAGCCACTCACAAACTAATGGGATTCCTGCACCACCACGGGAAAACACGTGACACAACAGAAATATTCAGTGACCCACTTCCCTGTTTGATTCCCAGCACGCAGAGAGCCATCTCTTCCCAGAATATTTCTTGACCCAGCATGTGGTTAGCCTGCAGAACCCCTTGCCACAGGATGTGGGGATAGCATCTGGCCTAGAGACCTTGAAAAGGGGATTGAACAGATTACTGGACAAAACGTCCCATCGCAGGTGACAAGCCACGATGGGGATGTATCATCTCCAGGATTAAAAAGGAAGGTCCTTCCAAAGGCCAGATGCTGGAGAAGATGGAGATCAGGAGACAGGGATGTAGTTGTCTCCTGTGCTCCCAAAGGCATCTGGTTGGGGCCACTGGGAGATACAGGGAGATGGATTAGAGGGGCCCTGGGCCTGATCCAGCATAGGGCTCTTCTTCTTAGCTTCTTACATAAGGACCTTGTTCCCGGCTCAAGCTCACCTCCATGAAAGCTATCTTCTCATGAGAGGCTGGCATTCCACATTATTTTGCCTGAATAATCAAAACAATACAGAACATAAAACCAGCAGGAAACTGATAGGGCAGTAGCTGAAACTGTGGGTTTTATCTGAAAGGCAGGCAAGCTAAAAAAAAGGACAAGAAAGCAAAGTAGCTCGCCTGAGCTAGCCTAAGCATACAGTTTTTCCAATTATCTGAAAGGCAGGCAAGCTAAAAAAAAAAGGACAAGAAAGCAAAGTGGCTCGCCTGAGCTATCCTACGCATACCGTTTTTCCAAACAAAGATCTTTGGCTAAATATATATTTGTTGTATATGTGTGTGTGTGTGTGTGTGTGTGTGTGTGTGTGTATAAACAAAGGCAGTCTCTCTCCATTCTGCACTGGCCTATTCCAAGCGTAGATACACATTTCATTCACATGGCCTTAGTTACCTCTACAGCAGCAGTTCCCAACCTTGGATAACCCAGATGTTCTTGGACTACAATTCCCAGAAATCCTGGCTGGCACAATTAATAGTGAAGGCTTCTGGGAATTGCAGTCCAAGAACATCAGGAGGCCCAAGGTTGGGATCCATTGCTCTAGAGCAAGACTACACAAAACACATTTTAAAGCCACTGAGTCCAAGAACATTGGGAGGCCCAAGGTTGTGATCCACTGCTCTTGAGCAAGACTACACAAAACACATGGAACATTTTAAAGCCACTTTCCTAACCTTGATTTACAGCCTCTGTTTATCCCTTTCCTGCTCAGCGGGGCTCATGAAGGATCCAGTAAACACCCATCTACTATTTGCAGGAGAGCAAGACGAGGAACGTGACACGTCCCCCTGAACAGCAGAGATGAGTTCCATTGATGGGGAGGGATCCTGTCCGCCCAGCGGCGTCCCAGGAGATCACGGAGAGCGCCAGGGGTGTAGATCTACTGTCCGCGGTACCTTTATCAGAAGTAAGCGACAAAGCAGGCTACGTACACTTGGCTGGATCTCCTCCTAAAGACCTTCACCCACAGCAGCACAGCAGCCTTGAGCTAAGCACAGAAAGCTCTGGCCTGTTTCAACAGAATGGAAAGTTCAGCACCAAAAATTCTACTGCATAAAGCAGAAATGAATTTATCATCAGCCTCCTAGAACGGCAGAGCTGGGTCATTGAGTCCAGACACGGCTACTGCATAAAGCAGAAATGAATTTATCACCAGCATCCTAGAACCGCAGAGCTGGATCATTGAGTCTGGACACAGTCAGAGGCCCAGCGAGGAATCGAACTCCCAACACAGGCAGACCACTGAGCGATCCAGCAGTTCTTAATTTATTTTATTTATGTGGTACTTTTTTCACAGAAGTGGGGCTCAAGACAGGTTAATAGGATACTGTAGTTTAAAAAAAACAGTTATAAGTACTCCAACAGACTTAAACACAAGACTTAGGCAGCACTCTGGATTTGCGATTTTTAGATCGTTGGCTTTTGTAAGCTGGCTGGGGTCCCCCCCTTGGGAGAATGGGGGAGCAGAAAACCAACCAACTGCTACAGGAAAAATGCCAGGGAGCTTTTCTCAGAAAAAAATGCCGGAAGCCACCGACAGCAATAAAATGCTTGTTACGTTATGTGTTGTCAAGTCAAAACTGACTCATAGCAACCTTAACAGGGCTTTTAAGGTAAGTGAGACATTAAAGGTGCAGTTTTATGGGTTTTATCCCCATTGACTTTCTACAGGGATGAGAGGATTCGAACCCAGGCCTCTTGAGTCCCATTTCGTCACTTTTTCCGTGACCTCAACCCTATGAATCGAAAGCATTTCGGCCCTGATGGGGGTTGTGGTTCTAGCTATTTGGGACCTCTTAGAACCTCAAGGCAAATCCATAACAAGGAATATAGAAAAATGTCTTCTCCAAAGAAAAAGGAAGTTTTGGCCTGTCGTTCTGCATGGGAAGCTGCTGAATTCTGCACAGGTAAAAAAAAATGTTTTTGGCAGGTCCTACACAGGAGAGGTGCCACTCTGCAACTAGAACTGGAACAATCCTGCACAGATTGGGATTTCTCTTCTCCTTTCCTAGGGGATTCCTCCCAGGAAAGATGTCACTCTGCAAAGAGACCACTATGCCTTTTAAAAATGACCCAAAAATTCCTGGAAAAATCCTTTTGAGATTTCATGCAAGCACTTTACATGAGAGAACTCTCTGCTTTCTCCCCCTCCTCACTTTCTCCTCCAACAGCAAGCAGTGGTGAGATTCACATGAAAAATCCTTTTGAGATTTCATGCAAGCATTTTACATGAGAAAACTCTCTGCTTTCCCCCCCCCTCACTTTCTCCTCCAACAGCAAGCAGCGGTGAGATTCACATCCTCTCTCATACGCAGGCAACGTTTTCAATTTCTTATCCCTACCGCTACAGTTGGTAGCCTATATTATTAATCATTTATTATATCCCACCCCAGAAGGAACTGCTGCCTAAAATAGCCGAGAAGCTAAGCTGCAACATCAGCAGAGTACCCGAATAATAAAGTATACTCATGGTTAGAATTTTTTAAAAAAATACAGAACACGGGTGGAATTAATTTTAACTTTACATGAGAAGGCTCTGGCACTGTCTTTGCAAGTATTAAACAACAGCTTATGGAGTATTCCATCTACATCAGTTCACTGAGAATCCCCAGTGCTCAGTTCTGAAAATTATAGCATGAAGACACCGTAATTTAAACAATTAGATAATAGTGCTATACAAGATGAAAAACGTATATTCTCAACACCAAGATGCATCTTTTGGAAAAGCATTTTTCTTTCCTACAAACGTGTCCAGAATTTCTATTATCCCAGCTATTTAAGGAAAACATATTAATATTCTTTTACAAAGCAGACGAAATGTTCTCTCATCAGTACCTCTTAGCGGGTGGATTTAATGTGTATTAACTCATCAGGCCTGTCTTTGCCAAAACCAATTACACCATTATTAGTTATGTTGCAATAAGATCACAAACTGCTATCTTCAGGGCTTGCTTAAAAATACAAAGATATTAAGATGTCTTCCATCCTGCTTAATATAGCTGGTAGGTGAAAAGTTTTTAAACATTTGCTTCCTGGTGTTGTCTTAGCGCTAAAAATAAAAGTTGCTTTAAAAATAACTGCCCCACTGACCAATAATTCCAGAATTCATTTCCAAATTACACACTGGTGTCTTTCAGAAAGGTCTCGCCTTGTCTCACGTCAGAATGCTAGTCCGGCTCTCTATGACCTCACCAAGAAAGGAAAGGACAGGGGAGAAAATATAGAGAATTAGATCTGGTGTTGCTCACCAAAGCAGACAAACATTACCAGTAACTAAGGAGAAAACTAAACTGATGCTGGTCTAAAGCAACTTCCCTGTGGGAACCAAAACATAAAAGGAAATAAAAGCAAACCCGGTTTTCGCCCCTCCCAAAAGGGAAGCGTTTTTTTCAAAACAAGCCAGAAAGGGCGAGTTGCTAATAGCGTGGAATTCTGAAAATGCTCTGTTTTATCAAAAGAATTTATGGGGAGCTTAAGGCCAAAAACGGCTCTCCGGAGAAAGTAGGTGAAGAGCGTTGAAACCGAAAAGGCTGAGCTGCTCTCTGCTGTAAATATTGAATTTTGGAACAGAGAAAGGTTAAGGATCCAGCTGGCTGAATCACTTTCCCTTGACTGATTGCTCCTTGCGCTTAGCGCTGATCCGATGCGTCACGATGCTTTACGCTCAGCATCCCTGTGCATGTTTTGGGATAGCAAGACATAGGTGTTGAAACCCGGAGGGGCTGAGAGCAGGAGGGGCAAGCCTTCCGTTGTCCTCTGAAGCCCCAGCAAGGAGACCTTGGCTAATCTGGCCGAGAAAGAGGTGCCCATACCAATGGCAGACACGCTTCCTAGCACTCCCAGAAACTGTACAATTCTGAGAGATGGATCGATCACCCGCTGGAAACGCTTGGCAATACAATAGACAGGTGGAAAGGGAAGAAAGGTGATGGACAATTGGGTTGGGGGGGGTAATACACATATAACAAACATATATTCAAATACTGCATATATATTTCAGGGAGGTTCCTGGCACATTTGACATCCTTCAGACCTCCTGCCCAACATCCCCCCTGCCCTGCAAAGGGGAAAAAAAACACCAAGATTTCTTTCAGATGTCTTTCCTCCGGCCAGCATTTCCACCCAGGCAT